ACATCATGATGACCCAGCTAAAAATCTGGAGAGAAGAGACAGTGGTCTAACTGACAATATTATTGTGAGGAGATTAAATTCTGATTAAAAAAACTAGACCAAGAGCAGCTGCTTAAGGCTGATTCTACGCAATTCAATTTATTCAAAGTAAAGAAATGTGAAGATGAAGAAGTGAACACCTAGATCCGAAGCCACGACGAAATTAGCGTGGTAGCCCGTTATTTCCCATCATTGTTTTCCATCATTGTTTCCCATTATTTCACTTACAAATCCTTTCTTCCTTTATTCATGGGTAAAACTTGTCTCAAAATGTAAGTAATAACTCACATTGGTCACAATCGTCCTCATCTGATCCATCAGAGCATTCATTATCATAACCATCGCATCGATTATCCATCGACAGAATTTCATCTCCACTTTTGCATAAGAAAAGGTCGTCGTACAACGAGGTGATGTTTCCTATGTCTATGAAAGAAGGAAAAAAACCAGCAGACGTTCAGACTATTCTATTTGGGGGCTCAGTACAAGTGGTTTTACCCTCAAAAAATGTTAATTATAACAGCTCCATGCAAAATATCTTTCCTCTATGTCATCATAATTCAAGGTGTTACGTTCTCATTACATCTACAGATACATATTTCTGACCTGACTTTGAAGTGTGCACACAATTCACTCGGCGTTGTTCAACATAGCAACCAGCCCTCAGTGTCTGATAGTAGGTGCTACAGAAGAAATGGATATCTTTTTCCTTCCAGCTATCGCCATCAAAATAGATGGTGCCATTCCATCTGCAAGCTAGAGGAGAATAAAAAGGTGCGGATAATTAACCAGTCTACTAAAGCGCAATAGGCATTCATTATACAGATATTGATGAAATACCAGGATTTTTCCTTTTACTAAAAAGACGAATCTTCATCACGCGCAGTGAAGATACTATTTTTATCTTTCACGTGTGAGGATATTGATGTCGCCTTGATTACTAACATGAGTAGTAATGGAATTTGATAGAGTTTTTCTCTTCTTCATTAGAGTTTTGACTTTTTGGAACATAAAATATAAGCATTATTGTCTTTATTTCTCCTTTATAACTTTATATCCGAGTTTCATAACACTTTTGTGACATGCATTTTGTGATAGGTGACCACTTTAATTGCACTACTTTGCTGTTCCGAAAATAAATAAAAAAGTTGTTTCTTATGTGGAAATTTCATCAGTATCTATAAAATAAACAGAACATTGCATGGCCTCTTGGGAATACGAATTTTATCTTCTCTTGCTGAAAGTATTTCTTTCAAGAAGCCGAAATGATTTCTCCTACTGTTTGTCACTCCAGTGAACGAACTTTGTCATAAGATTAGGAATAAACGTCTACCGTGTTTCGCTGCATCAAGTTTAGCATCCAAACCTTTAAGCGTTTTCATTCACCTTTACACTTGCCGCGATTTTTGGCCAGAAAACGGGATACATCACACTCATTTTGAATACAATATTCTGTCAGAGATTCTTCCTCCAAGCTATTTATCACTGAGATCTCTCGTTTGCAGTGGATCTTGCCAGCTCTACAGGAGCACTGAATGCAGTTACCCACTGACCACGTGACCCCCTCGAAGTACTGATTGGACTTTTCATCCTGACATGAGACCTCTATTTACACAAAATGACAATGTTGCAAAAAGCGCTCAGATTAAAAAATGTTCAAAATAATTCTTAGGTACGCCATGTACTGGGTTACTATTAATTACTAAAAGGAAAGGGGCCAGAAGCAGCAGTTAGTTTAACAATTTCCCGGCCGATTAAAATAAAAACTAGGCACCGACGTTCGTCAAATAAAGATTAAGAGGTTGAAAAAATTGATACATGGTTGTTTAAACATTATCATTTTAATTACGCAATCATGTGCATAATCATTATTACCCGACGAACAGCTATTACGACTGGGATCACGCAAACAGCCCGGAGTCTTTTTCTGGCAAAGACCATCTGAAACCAGCTGATGACCATTAG